AATACCGGATGGTCTCACTCATAGCAGGAATCTAGAAAACTTAAATAAGGGACCAGGAAAATGAATAACTATAAGAAAGTGAAAATCAAAATCAACAAAAAACTATGAACCAGAGACACTTTTTGGGGGGTGGGGGGCGGGAGGGGAGGGATTGGGGTCAGAATGGGGGGTTGCAATTGTATGGGGAATATAAAAATAAAATTTATTATAAAAAAAAAATAAAAATCAACTGAAGGGAGCAGTGATAAAAGGAGCTGACCTAAGTAACTATGGGGTATTCTGACTGGATGCCCTAAGGCTAACTACAAAAAGAACCATACACAAACACTGTACTCTAGTCAGTAAATTGGCTCCCCATAGGGGTATGGTTTAGCAATTTTGAAATTACTATGTATAATAGAGGTAAACAACAACAAAAAAAGTAAATATACTGTAGATAATGAGAATCAGGTTTCTCAGTCTAGAGAAAGAAGTTACAGATTAGGAAAGGGAAAAAGCTAGAAAGTACCCTTTGGTGCTTGTTCAGAATCAGAGGCATGGTTTTGGATAGACAAAACAGTTACATGTGTGTTTGTATGTACTGGTATGCAGATATACAATTTTCCCAGCTCTATCCAGAGAGGGAATAGAGGCAGTGAAATTTCAGTAGCAATTAGCATGTTTAGCTGCCAGGATTTTTTCTAAGTAATATTCTCTAAAGAAAAAAAATCAAGAGGTGCAGGAAAAAAAATAATTCTGGAGCATCCCTTGGTACCCTAAAGTAAGGCGTGATGTGAAGGGGTGTTGGGGAGTGGTAACAAAAGAACAAAGAGGGCCTCCCTGGTGGCTCAGCGGTTGAGCGCTGGGTTGCGAGGCTGCCCGCAGCCTCTATGACGCCGGTTCGATCCCCGGCTGCTCCCCGGCCACCGGAGGAGGGTCCCACATGGCGCGCAGACCTCCCCTGCCGCCCGCTGCTCCCCTCAGCAGTGTACTTCGGTCCTTCTGCCTGCTCTGCTCCCCGCTCTGGCTCTGGTGAATTCTCTCACCTTCCCGCGCTTCTGACTGTACCCAGTGCTTGTATAAACAAAACAAACAAATAAATAAATAAATAAAAATGCCTCTATCAAAAAAAAAAAAAAAAAACAAAGAGTTGATGTTAAGAGCTCCCAATGGCCAAAGCCCGAATAACTTGAGCAACAAAATAAATAACAACAATAGTAGATCATGACCCAAAGAATAAACTAAATATCCATAAGCCTAAACTAATACAAATAAATACTCTAACAGTAAATAGAGTAATGCATATAATAATATAATTTCTTACAGAAGGAATGAAGAAATGAGAAAGTCACTACTACAATACCACAGTAATAACTGTTAGAGGTAAACAGCAATGAGAAAAAATTTAAACAGGAATAGAGTATTTATTAATAGAGTATTTATTAATTACCGACTTAACCAAGTGATTGAGGTTAACATCACCAGTAATAAGACACATCAACATCATGTACCCCATAATGTGATGCACTTAGAAGGGCATATCACCTTTGTGGTGTCCTCCCAAATAGCACATAACCTTAACCTAATCAGGAGAAAATATCAGTAGAGCTCTGGAGACTTAACACATGTCTTCAAAAACCTTAGCCCACAGACTTTCCATACCTGGTACCCCCATCCACTGAAACCAAGGTAATAGAAAAAAAACAAAATGGTAATCTTTATCCAGTTTCCCAAATTTGTCCTCTCCTAAGAATCTAGGGGTACTTGTGAAAATGATGTTTCCAAGTTCCCTTTTATGGTGAGTCCAGATAGAGTCTGTACTTTACCAGGGACTCAGATAAATCTTACCAACAGGTAAGTTTGCAAAACACTGATTTTTTTCCCCGTAAACCTTGCCTTGCTGTGAGCTGATCAAGATGAATCTGGAAGGGAGAAGTTGATGCTCATTGGAGTATCCCCACCCTCCGTGGTGAACAGTAGTCTGAAGTCTCAGCATCCTCTGGTATCCCAGGATCACCTCAAATCTCTCCAGATAGGGGTCTCTTTCACAGGGCTGTCATAGGCCCAGGATTATACATGCCCAAAGGCTGTGACGTCCTGGTTTTTGATTCCAACTACACTTGGCTCTAACTGCAAGTCAAAAGACTGACTTGACTGACAGAACTGGAGCCCTCACAACAGGCAGCAGAGTAGGGGTGCTCCTGAACCCTCCCATCTTTGCGCTCAATGCAAGTAGCTTTTAAAGATGTTCAGGACACAATTTGTATGGATGTCTACTCTCAGTCACTTGTTGACAACTAAGCAAAATCCTGAAGAACATGGTTGCCTTGCAATGCACTGAAATCTTCTTGCATTTCATTAAGAGCCATCATTCTCAGCCACCTTTGCTACAAAGGAAAACTGTACACATAATAAAAGCTCATACATACACTCTAGCAGTGAGCATTTACTATGGGCTCAAACTTGTGTTAAGCCATTTATATGATTTGACCTTTATTTTATCTATGATTTTATCAGGAGCCCCATACTACTATTGGAGCTGAGGATGCCTCAGTGAACAAAAAAGAACCAAAACCCTGACACCTCCTGGGCCTAGTGATCTAGAATGGAAGAAAGATGATAAATGTTAAAGTGATAAATGTTAAACTTATCAGAAGGGATAAATTCTAAGGTTAAAAATGTTTTGTTTGTTTTTTTTTTAAAGGGGAGAGAGATCACAGAATGGGGTATGTGGAGGAGGGAGTGGTTTACGGTTTTAAAAGTGGCATTCAGGGCCTCACTGAGGAGAGCTCTGAATGAACCCTTTAGGGAGAGCAGGAGTGGCACTTTCTCCCAGACAGAGTGTTTCAGCAGAAGAGTGAGTGCAAGGTTCATAAGTCAGCAGTGTGCTGGCGTGCCCAGGGGCCAGCAGCAAGTCCACATGGTTGGGCAGAGTGACCAAGAGAGAAAGATGATGAAGTCAGAGAGGCAACTAAGGACAAATTGGCGGGGTTTGTAGTTATAAGAAAGTTTTTTTCTTTTCTCCTGAAAGAAATAGGGAGTTAGTAGATGGTTTTGTGTAGAATGACAGGTTCCAATCTCTATTTTTTCAAGAGCATGGTAGTTGTGGAGTTAATAGATTGTAGAAGGATGAGGAATCTTTTGGCAGAATCCAGGTAAGAGATGATGGTGGCTTAAACTGAGGAGGTGGCAATAGTGAGAAGAGCAATATTCCGATTCTAGGTATATTTTGAAAGTAGAGCCAATGGGACGTCCTAAAGAACTCAACAGCTCTAAGACAAAGCAGGGGATTAAGGATGACTCCCATCCTTAACTGAGATGAAGATGACAGGTTAAGGGCAGAACAGGTTGGGGAAACTGGAAATTTTGTCCTGGATACACTTAGTCTGAGAGTACTCAATATGAAAATGGAGAAGTCAGGTAGGCAAATGGATATGAGAGTCCAGCGTCCAGAGGAGAGCATCAGATTAGAAATATTAATTTGGCAGCACTCAGCATGAACACAATAGTCAGTCATAAGACAGAATAACAAAGTAAGCAGAAACAGAGAACAGTCCAGGATTGAGCTCTGGGGCACGCCAAGAAGGATGAGTCCAAGAGATGGAAGAGTGGCCAGGAAGAAGACAAGAGTGTGGTATGGAAACCAAAAAGAATACCCCAGAAGAGGCCAGTTCACATCAGATTTGGACTAAGAGTTGACTGGGTTAGCTACATACCATCACCGACAACCTTGAAGAAAGCATTTCTGGTGGATGGTAAGGAAGAAGGCTTGATTGCAGATTTTAAGAAAACACAGGAAGAAAGGGGTAGGTATTCAGTCATTCCCAATTTACAGATGAGGAACCAGTACCAAAGAGGTCAACAAGTTAGGACAAACATGTGCAGCTGATGATCATGCACCAAGCACACATGTAGTCCTTAGTGGATACATCTGGGAGGTAAGAAAAGCAATGAGGTAAAGATGTAAAGAGAGACTTTGAACCTTTCATTCTTTGTTCCCTTAGCAAAAGGACCTTCTAATGGGAGAAGTGATCTTGGGTCACAGCTGATGACTGAACCAGAAGTCAAGAAGCAGGGGTAGAAGGCGTATTTCTGTGCAGGGAATGTAGCAGCAACACCTGTTCTAGATATGTACTGATATGAACACCCAAGACTGACAGGTATAGGGCCAATTCAAGTGCTAAACCAAACCCTTCCTTGATGTTCCTGGCACCCAAGGAGACAGTCCTTTAGGTTCACTAAGGAAATAATCCTCATCTTTATTTATTATTTTCCCACTGCTGTTGAAACCTTGTAGTCTCCCCATGAGCTTAACTTCCACAACTGAGAATGCAGAGCAGAACACATGGAAGTGACTGGCCTGTATGAGCTAAAAGGTGTCCAGGGCTCCTGAAGCGTGAACACACCACTCCCAAGTGAAGTGCTGCCTTTTAGAGCACCATGCCATGATGCCAGCCTGTGTGGCATAACAGAAGGAGCCCTGGCCTTGAAAAGTAGGAGACCTGGGTCCTGGTGCTGGGTCTATCATAAGGGCTGTGTGAAATGGGCAAGCCCCTTCTCAAGTACACAAAAGAATTGCTGGACCTCATCTTTTGGAGTCTCCATTTCTTCCACTAAACAACAACATAGAGCACAGCGATTAAAAGAATGGGCATTGGAATCAGGATACCTGGGCCTGTTATTTTCTATGTTAACCTGTGTTAGTTAACCTTTTGAAGCTTCATTTTCAGAACCTGTAAAATGGGGATAACAATACATACCCAACAAACAACCATGAAAACACAGTGCCTAGCAGTGGTGTGCACTCTCTATTACCCATTATAATACTTTGAGAGTTGTCTTCCAAGATGCATTTATTAATAATTAACCTCTCCATTTGCAATTAAAAAATATTAATAGTTAACTTCAGATAGGTTGAAATAATGTTAAGCAAAAAGGAAATAATAATTTAGCCAAAAAATGAGAAAATAAAAATCTAGTAACAATAGTGAACTATTACTTATACAACAGATGACATGTACCTTGAACAGGGATTTCCCCATAGTTTGGTCTCTTATCTGACAGGGTTGTCAGGGGTTTGGATGTAGAAATTGGTCCACTTATGGAATGTCTCTGAAATCATAAGGTAAAAAGTATCAAAGTTAGGTCAAATCTAGAGCTGGGGCTTAAAACACAAGTGTTGCAGAGAATATTTAGTTACAAATTTGCATAATTCCTTCTACACTGTTAAAGTAAGGCTGAAGTAAACATTAAGATACAACATCTACACACACGCACACACAGAGTGATCTCAATATACATTAAAAAAAAATAGTATGGAAAGATCCCTTCCTGTGCCCTTTACCCAGTTAGCCCCATTAGTTAGTTACATCCTGTAATCCTATAGTACAATAACCAAACCAGGATACTGACATCATATAGTCAAGGATTCCTCCTATGGCCCTTATGCAATTACACCTTTCCTCCTGCTCCCTGACCCCTGGCAACCAGTGGTATTCTGTGGGTGAGCCCACTGTTTGGATTAAAAAGGATTCTTTCGTGTCAGCTACCAACTAGTGAAATACAGATGTGCTCCTACTACAACTGCCCCTCTACAACCTGTCATCTGAACTCAGCACTACTGCAACAGCTTTGTCACTGGCTTCCTCAGCTCCTAACTCTTATGTACACCCCTCTGCATGCAGCCATAAGTATCTACCACCTATACCTAAAAAACCTCTTAGCCCTTCTTCATCTCCCATCACCTTTACTTACTGCTCAAGTATCACCAAACCACTTGTTCCCACAGAGACTGTGGTGTTTACCGTCTCTGCTTTTTCTCAAGCTTATTTCCTTTTCTTAGCCCCTTTTCACCTAGCTAACTTCTAATTTCTCATTTCATATTCCCGGCAGGAATATGCCAGACGCCCAGCATTCTCTACATCTTTATCAATACTTGGTATTGCCACTCTTTTAATTTTGGCCATCCTATCAGATATGCAGTGGTACTATGGGTTTAATTTTCATTTCCCTGAGGACTAATCCTATTGAGCATCTTTTCATTTGCTTATTACCCATTTGTACATCTTCTCTGAGGAAAGGACTTTTCTAATCTTTTGTTCATTATACACCGGGTAGTTTGTCTTTAACAAGCCTTTGAACAAGACTCTTTTGGCAGATTAAATGTATTGTGAAAATATTCACAACTTATCTTTTCATTTTATTACTTTATTATTGTCTTTCAGAAGTTTAAACTTTTGATGCCCAATTTACCAACTTTTTTCTTCATGCTTTTTTGTATCCTAAATAAGAAATCTTTGCCTTCTCAAAAGTCCTTAAGATTTTTTTCCAATGTTTTTATCTAGAAGTTTTATGACTTTTAGTTTTTACCTTTGGGTTTATAGTCAGTTTCAATTCTTGTATGTGGCAAGAGGTAAGGATTGTGGTTCTTTTTTAGCCCCACACAGAGACCTAGTTTTCCAGAACACTTTGTTGAAAAGACTATCCCTTTTGAACTGAATTACTGAGTACCTGGCACCATTGTTGAAAATCAACTGACCTATCTCTGGATTCTCTATTCTAGTCATCTAATGTCTGCATCTAAAAACTGATGTGAATGTCATATGCCTTGATTATACTGTATTGAAATCAGAGTGTAAGCCCTCCTAATTTGTCTACCACCCCACCCACCAGACATTTTGGATATTCTGGGTCTTTTAACTTTGTACATAAATTTAAAATTATCTTCTTAATTTCTACAAAAATGGCCGGTTGGAATTATAACTAGGATTATGTTGAATCCATAGATTAACATGAAGGAGAACTACAAGGTATTAAAATATTGAGTCTTCTAATCCATTAATATGTCTTTTCATTTATTACTTCCTTAATTTTTCACAGCAATATTTTGTAATTTTCATTGTATAAGCCTTCCAAAATATTTTATTAAATTTATAGCTAAGTACTTCAATTTCTTATTGTTCATTGGAGAGGAGTAGTCAAGATGGAAATGTCTTTTTATAACCTTAATTGGGAATGACACCTCGTTTTCCCATATCCTATTTATAAGAAGTGAGTAGTATAGGCAGCCAGCATCAAGAGGGACAGAATAAAGGAATGACTACCAGAAGGTGTGGATCACTGGGAAGCATTTCAGAGGCTGCTTACCCTATACTTCTGCTTGCTTACTTCTGGAACTCATGGGTCCTTTTGAAACTTATTTTTAAGGTCTTTTAGAATAGGTCTAGAATAGTGTCTACAGTAGCACTATTTAGTTCCACTGTAAAGTGTGGTCCTCTGTGGGATCTCTAGGAATGCTCCAAATATTCAAAGAGGTTTCCCATGACTGAAATGATTCCCTGCCCTGTGTGAACTATGGAAAGTGTTTGCCTGACAGCTCCCTGGCAACTGTTCTTTGCTGGGAAACTGTTCTTGTCCAGCCTTATGGGGGTTCACCCTATGGACGTGCAGACTGGCAACCAGGAAAGGACACAAAAGCATGCCTCTCCAGAATTCTAGACTCCATTCTCTGTCTACCTCCCTCCTCCTATTTACTGTGCCTTACAAATTCTGGCACCCTCATTCTCCATGAAAACTTGCCTATAGCTCTTCAGATCTAGTTAGTTCCCTTCCTTGCTTCATTTGGATTCAGCCTCCCTAAACTACCATCTGGAAAGTGCCAATAGAAAAGTATGGGGTATACCATGATTTATCTCATTTCTTAACTTTAATTCATGGATAACAGCCTTCTGCTGCCTGATATAAAATATCTAAAAGTGCTTTTTTTAAAAATCTTTTTTTAAAGATTTATTTTTATTTATACAAGCACTGGGGTATAGTCAGAAGCGCAGGAGGGTGAGAGAATTCACCAGAGACAGAGCGGGGAGTAGAACAGTCAGATGGATGAAAAACACTGCTGAGGGGAGCAGCAGGTAAGGCAGGAGAGGTCTCCCCGCCATGAAAGTAAGTGCTTTCTATGTTTTGACTAGTTGCCTGTGGTGGCAGAATAATCCAGTAATAACTCCCTCAGATCCCAAAGTGGAATTCCTACTCAGAAAGTTCTGAAAAAGTAACAACCCCAATCTTGGGTCCTCCTCCTTCAGGGATTCTCATTCACTAGGATGAGGCTGGGAATTTATGTTTAAAAACTCTCCACATGACTTTTATGCATAGTTAGATTTGAGAACCAATGTGCTAATTAAGCAATTATTAAAAAATTACTAAAAGTGACTTGTAATTCTTGCTTTTTTTAAGTTACAGAGTGAGATTTTTTTTTTATTGCCTGTCCTAGAAAGATTTAGTGTGATGTCTTGCACATTAAACTTCAATTGACAAACACTGGAGAAATTTCACCTCACCTGAAATTTATTTTATTTTGCCTTTATTTATTTATTTATTTTTAAAGATTTATTTATTTATACAAGAATTGGGGTATAGGTCAGAGGCACCGGAGGGTGAGAGAATTCACCAGAAAGAGCGGGGAGCAGAACAGGCAGATGGAGTGAAGACACTGTTGAGGGGAGCAGTGGGCGAGACAGGAGAGGTCTGCCACGCCATGTGGGTTTCTCCTGGCTGGCCAGGAATTGAACCCGTGCTGCAGAGGCTGTGGACACCTTCACTGCACAGCGCTCAACCCGCTGCACCACGGGGGAGGCCCTTATTTTGCCTTTAGTTATTATAATCTTGAGGTCTTTAGGAAAAGTTTAATAGAGAACAAATAAAAAGTATTAAATACGCAAATGGACAAGGAATTCCCCTTGCCTTCCTTTTAAATTAAGAACACCTTCTATATGAAAATGCAAAGTTGCTAACTTGCAAAATTATAAATGCAGGGGGGGGGGTAACATGTTTACCCCAAACTTTACAAAGGAAAAAGTAAAATATTTATCCTCAATATACATGGCCAATAGTTAACAAAGCACAAGTCTCCATTCAAAAAGAAAAAATTACTCCTATATAATTTTAGGGACAGGAAAAGAGCCAATGCTACTAGTTTTAGGCCACCTCAAATACTCTTTCCACAAGTAGTATCCTAGCAAGGGCTACTTAGTCCCTATAATGAAAGGATATCTTGAGCCCTACAGAGTGACAACTCTCTGCTCTCCTTTCTGGTCTGCATTTCAACAGTGGCAAAACAAAGCAATGTCTAAAACTCATCCATAACGGAGCAGCAAGGTTCTGTGCTAGACTACTACGAAATGAAAGGGCATCTTGAGCCCTACAGAGTGAAATCATGCTTCTTTAAATTTATGCCTTGTCAACCCCCTTCCACTCTCATTCTGGAATGGCCTTATGACCTGCGTGGCCCAAAAGAATGGGAGAGAAGTGACACTGTCTAACTATAAACCTAGGTCTTAAGATGCTTGTTAACTGCCACTTTTACTCTCTCGGCAGTTGAGACACCAAGTCATGAAGGAGCCTGAAAGGAAAGATCACAAGATGAGATAGGCGCAACCATTGCTGCTGAGCCCAGGTTCTAGCTCACCTTCTAGACAGGTGTAGCTGAAGGAGAAAGGTCAGGCAAAACCAGGAAAGAACTGCCTCATCAACCCAGAGAATGTCAAAAAGATAAAATTTCTGTTTTAGGCCTCAAAGTTTTGTTTTTTGTTTTATTTTTAATTTTATTTTATATAATTCTTACATCATTTTTCATTTTTGCACAATGTATGCATTTTCCTTTTGGTTATATTCCCCATACAGTTGCACCCCTCCTTTATTTTGACCCTAGTCCTTTCTCTCCCCATCCGTCCCCCCGCCACAATAGTGTGTCTCTGGTTTATAGTTGCTTGTTGATTTTGATTTTTACTTTGTATTAATTAGTCTTTTTCCTGGTCCCTTATTTAGGTTTTCTACATTCCTGCTATGAGTGAGACCATCCGGTATTTTTCTTTTTCTTTCTGACTTATTTCGCTGAGCATGATCCCTTCTAGCTCCATCCATGTTGCTGCAAACTGCATGTGTTTATCTTTTTTGATTGCTGAGCAATATTCCACTGTGCATATGCACCACATCTTCTTGATCCAGCCATCTATTTTTGGGCATTTGGGTTGTTTCCATAGCTTAGCTATTGTAAATAGTGCTGCTATAAACATTGGGATGCAAGTGCCCTTTGGAATTAATGTTTCTGTGTCATTTGGGTAAATACCTAGAAGTGGAATTGCTGATCATATGGAAGCTCTATCTTTAGTAGGTCAAGAAATCTCCACACAGCTCTCCATAGTGGCTGGACCAGTTTGCATTCCCACCAGCATTGCAGGAGAGTTCCTTTTTCTCCACAACCTCGCCAACATTTGTTGTTGCTAGTTTTTTTAATATGTGCCATTCTCACTGGTATAAGATGGTATCTCATTGTAGTTTTGATTTGCATTTCTCTGATTACAAGTGATGTTGAACATTTTTTCATATGCTTGTTGTAGGCCTCAAAGTTTTGAAAGTGATTTGCCATGCAGTGAAAGTTGAGGCATACCAATTATGTGTTCTCCTTAGAGAGGTGTCTTAATGTAGTGGCTAAAAGCATAGTCTCTGAAGCCAGAATGCCCAGGTTCAAATTTCTGCTCTTTTTAATTACATAACCTCTAGTGCCTAACCTTTGTAGGCCTGTTTCCACATGTGAAAACTGGGGTTAAGAACAGTATATACACCCAACAGAATTAATCAGGTTAACATTAGAAAGCATTTGGAATCGTGTAGAGCACAGAGTAAGTGCTCAATAGTTGTTAGCCATTTTCAGAAAAATAACACGACTGACATTTACCTAATTTATCTCAATTAAGGATATTCACAGTATCTCAGAAAATTCCAACTATATTCCCCACAAGGCAGTCATTTAGTTCCTAATGTAGTGCACGTGACTTTGAAGAGGATAAATTTCAGAAACTGAGGTCCCCAGAGTCACCACATACCTGCATAGGGGAGACAGCTGCTGCAGGAGGGGTTTTCATAGGACTTGGACTCAGAGGTGTTCGTGGAATTGCAGCTGCAGTAGGGTTTGGTACTAGACAAACAACAATATACAAATAATCAATAAATAGATCATGATACAGCAGAAGCTTTCATAACTGGTGTCCTCTAAGCATCCACTAGATTAACCAATGCCCTTGGTTCCCCCTGGAAACTGTTCTGATCGAGGAACCTCTCCTGAACACTTTGTCATGCCCAACAGGTGGTCCTTCTTCTGCCACCAGGTAGACTGTGTGCTTCTCTAGTATTTCCAACCCTGGTTATGCCAGTCACTTTATTTTTACTACTTGATTGTCTTATGTGGTTAAAAATGCTCCATAAATCAACGCAATTCAAGAACCAAAAAACCCCAAGAAGAGTATTTCTGTAATTGCATCAGTGAGCAGCCTGGCACATCGTGGATGTTCACTATTACATGAAGGAACACTAGAACCTGCTCATCTTCCCTCATCTCCTTCATGAGGTCATTTTACATTAATTATCAGATTTGCACTTAATACATTAATGTTTAATTACCTGCTCACACATCAATCTCCTTCCATAGCCTGAACTGTTATAAGAAAGATCTGTAGTTTATTAATTTCTAGATATTTGGGCTTAGCACAGATTCTGGTGGAGGGTGTATAAAGATGGCTATTCATCTGAAGCCAAATTAAAATCAAAATGGGACACACAAATGAAATCAGGCACATAACACAGTGGATGAGGATGGAGAAATCACTGTGGACCTTTTTATTTAGCCAAATATTTATGTTAGGAACTATGTTTCTAGATGTGTTTTCTATTGAGATAAAATTGACATAACATAAACTTAATTTTTAGACTATAAAGATTAGTGGCATTTAGTACATTCACAATGTTAAATAACCATCCTCACTTCTACCTAGATCCAAAACATTTTATCACCCCCAAATGAAACTTATAAGCAGTCACTCCCATTCATTCTCCTCCAACCCCTGGCAACCACCAAGCTGCATTCTGTCTCTGAATTTACCTATTCTGCACATTTTTTGGTTTCTGTCACTTAGCATATTTTCAAGGTTATCCACATGGTAGCATATCAGTACTTCATTCACTGTTATATTTAAGTAGCATTCTACTGTATGGATGTGCCACATTCTGTTTATTCACTCATTAATTGATGGACATCTGCATTATTTCCATGTTTTTGTTACTGTGAATAGTGGTGCTACAAACATTTGTGTGTAAGTATTAGTCTGAATGCTTGTGCTCATTTCTTTTGCGTATATCCAGAGGTAAAACTACTGGGTCATTCAGATATATTTTATTATAATACAGTGCTTTTTATTTTTTATTTTATTTCTTGTAAAGATTTATTTATTTATGCATACCAGAACTGGGGTACAGGCCAGAGGTGTGGCGGGTGAAAGGATTCACCAGAGACAGAGTTGGGATCAGAACAGGCAGATTAACTGAAGGACACTGCTGAGGGGAGCAGTGGGCGAGTGAGGAGAGGTCTGCTGTGCCATGTGGGTTGCTCCCTGGCCGGGAATCAAACTCATGCTGCAGTGGCTGCAGATAGCTTCATATGTTGTGTCTTAACCCCTAGAGCCACCAGGGAGGCCCCAATGTTTTTTTAAAAAAGATCAGTACAGTAGATCATTTTACATTAAAATCCACTGTATTAATATTTTTAAATAGTTGTATAATTTTAATTGTGTAGTCATTCCATCATCAACTTATTCTTTTTGTTAATTTATTGATTTATATTATGTTTTACATCATTGTTCATTTTTGTACAATGTTTGTTTTCTCCTCTCAGGTGTAATCCCTGTGAAATTCCTACCACCAATTCACCTGTGCATCATCACCACAGTCCCTTATGTTCTTCCCTTCCCTGTTTTGGGCGCTCTCCTTCCTCCTCCCCTGTAGAATGTCTCTGATTTATAGCTGCTTGTTAATTTTATTATTTTCATTATTTTTTCCTTATCCTTATTTGGTTCCCCTAAATTCCTCCTATAAGTGAAACCATCTGGTATTTTTCTTTTTCCTTCTGACTTATTTCACTGAACATAATCCCTTCCAGCTTCATCCATGTTGCTGCAAATGGCATGAGTTAATCTTTTTTGATTGCTTTAAGTATTCTATCTTGATCCAGTCATCTATTTTGGGGCATTTGGGTTGTTTCCATATCTTACCTATTATAAATAGTGCTGCAATAAACAAAGGGATGCAGGTATCCTTTTGAATTAATGTTATTGTGTTCTTTGGGTAGATTCCTAGGAGTGGAATTGCTGGGTCACATGGTAGCTCCAATTTTAGTAGTTTGAGGAGTGTACTTTTTTTAAAGTTTTTTTAATCTTACCCCATCAAATACCCAGAAGCAGCCACTAATAACAATTCCAAGCACATCTTTCTTGAATTTTCAATACAAATATCTATGTATGTTAAAAAACAGAATGAGATCACACTACATAATATTGTCTACAACTTGTTAATAAAAGGCTGCAGATTTTGTCAAAAAAAAAACATAACTCTTTCCCTTTCCCAGAGCTGAGGAGGTTAGAGAGACAAAATATTTCAAGATCCACCTCACCTTTGGTAAAAGATATTCCACTGTATAATAATGAATTATAACTGACTTAATCTATTTATGGGCATTTAAGCAATTTCAAGATCTTTCATTTTTTAAAAATAATGCTATATTGACAACTTTGTATACATAGTTACCTTTATACTTTATGCACTTTGCTATTATTATGTATAAGAACTTTGGGGTCTGTGAATATAATATTTTAAGTTGGAAGATATTGCCTAACTGTCCTCTAAAATGACTGTACCAACAATGTGAGTATACCCATGACTTTGTTCCGCTTTTAAGTCAAAGTAATCTGATTTGCATATAACTACAGAGTACAAATTCTAAAATTCTACCTTTATTAGAGTGAATTAGAATAAAAGCTAGAATATAACAATCAGTTGTTTTAAAAAACCATAATAACTCTTGCCCTTTCCCAGAGCTGAGGAGGTTAGAGCCACAAAAAAGGGCCAGGATGATTTTCCAGGCAGAGAAAAGAATATGATATGGAACCTGTCTTGCTTCAGAAGCTGAAGTGCACTGCAGTTAGAGCACAGGAGGTAAGGGAAGAGTGGTTCAACTAAGGCATGAGGTAGGCAGGGTCAGACTGTAACACATCTGGGGATCTGAATTTCATTCTAACTATAATAAAACAACTAAAGCATTTCTATGATAAAATATGTAAACTCACTAAGGTAGGGTACAGAATATTGAGTAGTTAGTGGTGCTGTGAGCTCACAACTGATTATGTCAATAGAGAAGTAGAAAAGTACAAAGACTGCATATCGGAGGGTGGATCAAAAGGAATTGCCAAAAGATTAGATATAGAAGTGAGGAAGAAGGAGGATTCAAGGGAAAAGGAAAATTTCTATATTTCTGGCCTAAATAACGGGGTAGAAAGGTGTTGCACAATGAAGATAAGGGACAGCAGTTTGGCTTTGAACGTAGTAAGATGTCTAGAAGATACATGCATGTCAATGTCAAGTGAGTATTTGGATATACAAGCCTGAAGGAGTGCAGAGTAAGGTAAAGGTTAAGTCATCTCTCTGGAAAATTTTAGGCACAGAGAAGATACTCAGTTATGAGAATGTGTGAAAACACATCTCTGTATGGTGTAAAACGCAAGTGAGACCAAGATCTCTGAAGATGAACATATCTCAAATCTACTAAAATTCACCTAACAATAAACTGCTTCATGAATATGTAATTTGATACGATTCAAGAAAAGATGGAAAAATATCAAAACAAGGCAGATAACACATAGTAAGTGACTATCGCTGTTTGCCCGTGGCATAACATGGAAGAAATTACCTTGAGATGCACTATCAAAGGACTTGATGAGGGTTTTAACTGTAGGGGTTGGCTCAGAGGAGGTGGAGGACCTTCTACTCAGTCCCATCCCTTGTCTTAAAGCTGCCAAATCTCTCTCCACAGCATTCATGTAGTTATATACCCGGCCTCGCTCCTCTTCTTGCCTGAAAACATATTGAAATAAGAGCATATTTACAAATGTCCTGACTGAAATACATTAAGAAGTATCAGTTATAAAAAAGGATTGGTTGAGTAAATTACCTGTCTTAATATTCTCATTTGCTTGGTAAATTTCAGGAAATGATATTTAAAATGTTCTATCAGGTTACCTTAAGTAGGTTAAGTAACCATCAGATTCCATTTTCATCTGAGTGAGTGTAAGGTGAGGACATCAATAATCTATTAGCACTAAAATGGAAGGTGGATGGGCCAAAGATGCTAATTTAGAACCATGAATCTTGAGATTCTGTGCTAGCGAGAAGGCCCAGTCCTTCTCAGGCGACTTCGAGAATTCACCAGTGAATAAGGAGATTATACTTACTCATCTACTATGTTGTGCAGACATGAAAATACAAAGAAATGAAAACAAAGTCCACACTCTTAACATTTAAAACTCTGCTGTAGTCTCCAAACAGAATTTCTACAAGGAAAAAAGGCCTGTATTAGTAACATGACTCTTCAAGATCTCAGTGTGATGGACCATGAGTCATCTAAAAATCAATTTCATTTCATTTCTGGCCAGCTCTAATTCACTGAACTGACTAACACAGAAGTTTTCATCTAGGATGAGATTACAGTTGCAGAGTTTGTATGTCATATAACTACCAAGTAAGTTTACTGGTGGACAAAAATTAAGCCAATCCTTAGGAAGATTTGTGTATGGTAGCCATTTGGCTATTCTGGCAGTTTTTTGTTTCAAGATGCATGTTCAGAAGTTTTAATAATCTACTATACTCAAAAACGACAAGAGGTAGTTACTTAAAAGTTAGTTGCAATGTGGAATCTGAAACTGTATGAATAAACTTCTACTTTACTTAACCCTTTAAAATCCCCTGGTTGATCCTGAATTTTGAATGGATCTTTTAACCACAAATGATTGTGTAATACCATGCATCCATCATATGGAAAATACTGGCTTACCGAGTTACAAGGATTTTTCCAAATGTTTACACCTTTCATCATACAATTTATTTTTTAAATGTCACATTTGTTAATATCACAATTGTTAAAATGGGAAGCTGCCAATCTCACAATGGCAGATAAAAGTTTTCCAAAATCCTAACATTCACTTGGAAGTCCACATTTTATCACTGGTAACAAAGACTGTCAGTAGTTTTCCTTGAAGTGACAGGTTCTCTTAATAATTTTTAAGAATACATACTATATAACAAAAGTCTGAATATCCATAATCTGTTCATTAGTCATTCTCAAGTGAAAAATAATGTTAAATGAAAAAAAGAAAACAGATGAACTAAAACAATCACAAAGTGCTTCCCTCCAAACACCTTCATCATTGGGTATATAGCCAATACATCAGAAATACTGTATGTATACTTCCTGTTTTGTCAAAGAGAATGTTAGAAAGAATTTACTCAAGGAACAAGATTATCATTATTAATAATTTACTGCTTTATCAAGGATATCTTTGAGTGAAACCTACATTATTTAAAATGTAAGTTTATAATAGTAGAGAATATAACAACTGAGTATAATTTGGTGGCAAAAGCTTAAATTATCAACTTTTCACATTTGCTTTTCATTATCAGTACAAAACTCAATACAATGAACAGGGCTAACCACATATCAGTACTACTATAAAAACAGTAGTGCTTGCAGAGTCTGTGAAAGGGTCTTGAGGACCTCTAAGGATCTGCAAACCTACTCTGAGAACCACTACTGTATAAGATGCTACTTCTTTGGGGAGGGATTTCCTTTAAATAATGTGTCTCAAAGACTGAAGAGTTTTAGGAACAAATGGTATGACTCTTTATGAGTACAATTTCACTCACTCATGATAACTTTAGAATGGAGCATTTCTGATACACTCTTCATTTAACAGCATACCAGGGGAAAAGTAGTGTGAGTCTTATGTCAGTGGAAAAATAATCTACCTCATTCCATTTTCTGCTTAAGGAAGCCAAAGGAAAATAGTCATTGGTATTTTTCTTTGGAACATATACTAGAGACCAGCAACAATAAAATAACTTTTTAAAGATATATCGTCAAATATTTTTCTAAATATTTTTTCCTATGTCTACTAAGAATTAAAGTTAGGAATGATAACAACCTGAAACACAAAGTATACTCTCCCTCACTCATGGACAAGAGTCTCCTTGAGAAAATCAGCAAATGTCATCTCAGGAAGTACTTTTTATGTTTTCTATGATCTCTTTATTAGAGGGGAAAAAATTCTACTGGGGAGATTCATGTGGTTACAAGCATAAAGTAAGAGAAAACTCAAGTGAGCGGCAGAGAGAAATTCACTTAGCATTCTTAATTTGCGTTTCTAAAAATACTAAAGACACTGCCGTGAATGTTTTGCAGGCATATCCCATTTAAGTCCTAACAACACTGTAAAGCAGGTAGGATTGTTTGCATTTTATTTTGTTTTATTTAATTTATTTATGTTTGCATAGAAGAACTAGGGTGTAGGCCAGAGATGAGGGGTGGAGGGAGGGGATGAGAGGACTCACTAGAGACAAAGTAGGGAGCAGAACAGGCAGATCTACTGACACACACTGCTGAGGGGAGCAGCGGTCAAGACAGGAGAGGTTTGCTGAGCCATATGTGGGTTAGTTTCCTGGCTGGGAATGAAATTCAGGCCATAGCGGTGATAGCTCTGAGACTTAACCCACTAGGCCACCAAGGAGGCCCTTGTTTGCATTTTAAAGATGAGTAAATTGTAGCTCAACAAAGTTACAGGCCCTGACCAAGATCACATAGCTAGTAAAAGGCAGAGCTGAATGAGAGTCCGCATCATTAATCATGAGGCTATAATCTAAAGAAAATAGGGCTGGAGTGTGGGGAGAGAGGAATAGAAAGAAATATAATGTACCCTATATACCATGGAATATTACTCAGCATTCAAAAAAGATAAACACATGCAATTTGCAGCAACATGGATAGAGCTGGAAGGGATCATGCTCAGCGAAATAAGCCAGAAAGAAAAAGAAAAATACCGGATGGTCTCACTCATAGCAGGAATCTAGAAAACTTAAATAAGGGACCAGGAAAATGAATAACTATAAGAAAGAAAATATCAAAATCAACAAACAACTATGAACCAGAGACACACTATGGGGGCGGGGGGGGGGGGAAAGGAGGGCTTGGGGTCAAAATAAGGGGGTTGTAATTGTATGGGGAATATAAAAAATAAAATTTAAATAAAATGTGAAAAAAAGAAAAAAGAAATATAATGTACCCAATGAGTCAAGGGTGATTTTAACACCTCCAGAATTGATAATGGACACTGACAACTCTGAAAGATCCATCTAAACTGTACTATTCTACAGGTATCATAAAATAAAGTCAGTAAGGTTGAATTATTTTCCATTAACAAACTAAGTCATACTGATGTCAAACTCTACGTTCTTTCTGTTAAACCAGGTGACAATACTGGGATCTAAGCGTTCTTTGTTGAAACAAAGGACACAAGTGGTTCCTCAAAACATACTTGCGTGACTTTATTTCCTCCAGTTCTTTTGTGAGTTTCTCATTTTTTTCCTGAGCCTCATGTAACCGGCGCTTCAGATCACCAATCTCCTCTTGGGCTTCAGATTTAATGTCATTTGCAATCACCACTGCAGTCTGGAGATCAGCTTGAAACTGTCGCCATTCTGCAGATTCTTCCTGTATTAAAAAAACTAAAATTTTATTTCCAAAGACAGCAATAAAGGCTTATTTAAAAACAATAATATGTGATTATGATTAGCCTGCTGTAATGCACTGTACTCACAAATGATTTTTTTTAATCCCAGAGAATTGCTATTACCTATTTCTAACAGGTAATGAAATTATTATTAGTGAACTTACTTTGCAACTGATCTGTCCATTGAGACATCAAGCACTCAAGAATGCTCAATAAGTATTAATGAATACAATGTGAAGTCTCCTTTTAGTATGTAAGTTTCAAAGTAAGTCTTAAGAAAATAAACAAAATTTACAGTGCTTTTACCTCTGAAAACTCAAGAAGGTAGACAAACGGTATGTAAACTGAAAGATTTCACAGTGAACTATAAATATCCTGACATCAAAAACTAACAGGGAAAAAAAAATCAAAAGTAAAGGAAAAGGAAGAGGAAATCAGAAGAACAACACTAAACTCAATACCTAGGCAGACAAAATCACACAGAGAACTAAGGAAAAGTTGCTTCCCACAGTCATGGAGGATGCAGGTTTGATGGACTGTGAAAGCCCCCCTGGAGTGTCACCTTCAGGAGTGACACTTCAGGAGTGTCACCTTCAGTCACCTTAGGCTACTCCAAAGCAATTTCCTGACCTTGTGAAGTAGCCTAAGAAACTGAGGCAGGACCCAAACTACAAGATTAGCTTCACCTAATGCTCTGTATCATAATGACACTGCTGTTTAGCCAAGCTGATCAAAAAACACAGAAGACTGAAAACAGCTCAGTTTGGGAAACTTTATAATTAAGAATAAACTTTCTTTCCAATAAGCCAAGTAGAGCATTATTATAATTGTATCTCAAGCTTAAGATAAATGATAACATGGCCAATGATGACCTGTACTCAACTTTCATAAAATAATGTTTTCTAATGAGATAATAGATGAAGATTAATCCTACCCGAAGTCTCCTGTGTAGTGTCTTGATTTCTCTTTCCATATCATGTTTCTGGTCTTGAAGTTTTTTCACCGTATCTGAAAAGATCACATAAATTCAAATATTTATTGTTAGAGCTGTGTTCAACATGAATTATATATAGGGAGGAAGTACTTAAATATGACATTCTAAAAATGTCATCCTGCCTAAAGATTTATTTTTAATATTAAATTTTAAAAGAAAAAAGGAACATCTAAGCCAAGTATTTAACCAACATTATTTCTAGTTTATCAAGTTTAAATCACAAAATTTCTGGATTACTTCCTTCCTCATTGTCTTAATACTGAAACAAAAAGCTAAGTAAAATCAATTGTTAGTAATATGTACACTGTTGGCTTATAACCAATCAAAACAACACTGACTGGTAGTAAACTGTGAACTTTTAATGTCAAAGGTTCTTAGTCTGAAATAATTTATGCAAATATAACTTACTTCACACAATGTAGTACATTCCAGAAATACAGTAAATCAGTTAAATTTTTATAAACTTAATTACATAAAATCCTAGGAAGTTTCTATATACATTACTCCTACTCTCAAATTATTTCTTACATTTTATGAATTTTCTTCAAACAACTTTTTCACTGTTAACATTTAATGAGCACCATTAATATGCAAAGTACTGGGCCTCCCTGGTGGCGCAGGCGGTTGAGTGCTGACTGGAAAGCTGTCCGCAGCCTCTGCAGTGCGGGTTCGATCCTGGCCGGCCAGCGAGAATCCCACATGGCAAGGCAGACCCCTCCTGTCTCGCCCACTGCTCCCCTCAGCAGTGTATTTCAGTAGATCTGTCTGTTCTGTTCCCCACTCTGTCTCTGGTGAATCCTCTCACCCTCCTGTGCATCTGGCCTGGACCCCAGTTCTTGTATAAATAAAAAAAAAATATGCAAAGTATTATTATAGACAATGGGAATGCACATGTAATACTAATCTTTCTTAAGCTAACATTATTAGCTTTCAAACTGAGACCCTGACATATGTGTTATGATGCTCTTAGATTGCTAATTATCTTCCTCCCCCCAGTTCTATCAGGAACCTACACTATTGAAACCTTTGTTTTTGCTTTGTGATGTTTTCTTTTTGGAATTCAATGTCAGTACATTTATGTTCTGATATTTTTAAATGGTATGAAGCCACTTCAAGAAAAGTATAGAATAATGTAACAATGACGTACTTTCTACAGTCAGATTTTTAAAGATGAGATAATACAAGGGGGAGCTGGTTAATTTCGGTAATCAGTAGTTAACTCCCTCCCATTCATCACCCAATTAGACTTGGAGCCTATGAAATAAAAAATTTAAAACTTAATCATTAACATAGCATCTTGTAAGTACCTACTTTGTACCAGGTTTTATTCTAGGTGTTTAAGACATAAAGGAGAGGGGGAAAAAGATAAAGTCCCTATTCTCTCTGAGATAGAAAGGACAAGTTTGCTTTGAGCTAGCAAAGGAGGATGTTTTCATATGTTTATCTCTATACAGGCTGCTTCAGAACTCATTTAACCTGGAAACTAAGAATCAAACAGGCCATCTAAGTTGTTTAGAGCAAAGCAGATAATACAAAGGTGAGTGTGTAAGTCTAATACCAGATCCCAATCTCTAGAGACAAGGATGATTCTGGAACCAGCCTTGGAATCTGGCTCTGTATGACCTACATTATGGACAATTTCAGGGCCTGGGTGCTACTATCTGACACAATCAAGGAGTAAAGACAGACATGGAAATATTTCTAGTGTTGAAAACACTAGGGATCACACCTTTCACTTACACATTACCCATTTATATGCAAGAAATATCAAAACAGACCAGCAAACAAACAAAAAAAATGTTTTATTTCATCCCTACTGAAAATTGTTTTCCTTTTCTTTTGGTCACAACAACTCATCCACCTATCTTGAGATAATTCACACAAAACAAATGACAGCAAATCATACTATAGCTCACTTTTAACATCGTGTGTTTGCGCCTAAGATGAACTTTATATTTAAGATTTATTTATTTGTACAGGAACTGGGGTACAGGTCAGATGCATGGGAGGGTGCGAGGATTCACCAGAGACAGAGTGGGGAACAGAACTGGCAGACTGACGAAATACACTGCTGAGGGGAGCAGAGGGCGAGACAGGAGAGGTCGAACCCGCGCTGCAGAGGCTGTGAACAGCTTCATAGAGCGGCACTCAACCACCTGAGCCACCAGGGAGGCCTCTAAGATGAACTTTAAACTACCTGGCTATCTTAAACCGATCATAAAATCCCAAACTTCATTCATTTTTGTTTATTATAATCTTTCTGTCTTTTCCAACCTCTGCATTCAGCCACAAAATTCACATAATCATTATACTTAAAAAGACATCCCTCTACTGTGTTACATATTTATTATTGCTATGTTTTCTTTTTATTTCTTCTTAACAGAAGAGAAACTGATAGCTAGTGGACATATCTAGATGTAGTAAAACAAAATGGAATATCTCCAGGGAACTTGACTTAAGCTTTACAAATAATGTCTGTAATTTTCACTTTGTAACATAGACTATTAAAAGTGACAAAAAGGCTTTTCTAACTTGGAAACAAAGTAGTTTGTACTTAGGTTCTGGTTTTGAGGACTAGATTAGCAAAACTGCCATTCAGTCCAATTCATGTCCTACAGAAAAGGCAGTTTAGTCTTCAACCCTGGAGCCACTAAATGCAATGTCCTTCTGCAAAATTTTCTGGTATGAGGGACTGCCATCTACTGACTTCAACACAAAAACATTAAACTGGATTAAGAAACAGAAAAATATAATGATTTCATTTTAAAATTACAGTTTTAACTCACTTTTACAAACTTGTTTTTATTCTAGAAATCAGGTAAATTGCTATTGTTATTAGACCAACTTTGTTGAGAATAATTCTGGGCACAGCCTTGCCCACCACCAAGGACCTACTATCCCTGACAAATCAAGATCAGCCAAGTCACCACTCTGGCTTCAGGTATATGCCCATCTTTCACACAGATGATACTAGGCTCCATTATGAGCACACTGACCCCTGGGGGTGTAAAATAATGGAAGTTCATAAGCAATCTTTCCTGCCCTCTGAACTGAGAAACATCTTTAGGGTATGCTTAGCATCTTGCATCTGGACAAGCAACTCCGACTGACAACACGTGCAACTTTAAGAGTAAAGGAAAAAATAAAAGAAACCAATCAGTTAAAACACCACACCTCAGGGGCAGGAAAGAGAGGCAGGCAGTGCATCTAGCCACCAGGCAAAAGCTTTATCCCCAAACCATAATTCCTGATGTAGGAAGAGGATACAGATGAGTTTCAAATGAGCTGAGGATACAGATGAGTTTTAGTTTTCTTTATTTATAAAATTTTATTTCACTCAATGCCTTCTGAAAAAAAGTTATACAAATTTTGTTCCACAAGTCTAAAAGTAATGCAGGCTCACAATAAAAAGCCTAGAAAATGGACAGGGGTAACAAAAAATGAGATTACCTGCTGCACCTCCCCCTGCAGTGACCTTTAGGGCTAACCGTCCACCAGGAACCACTACAAGAATGCTAAAAAACCTTATCCCGTCTTTCTAAAACTACAAACTTTAATCCCTTATTGTCTTTCTAAACTTCCTTCTTTCTTCTATAAAGGTCATTGCTTGTTAATTAAAAAATCATATGAAATCCTTAAAACAAGGCTGACTCAAATGAAACATTACTAAACCCTGTAATAATTAAAATACAGTTTAGGTAAAAAAGTAGTTAATAAAAAATGCGATTATATAGTTTAAAAACAAAACTAATGGTCTATCTACTTAGGAATGAGGCTGAGTCCAGATGTAGATCACCGCCCTGTCGGTGATAGGCTGAGCCCATGAGCAAGCTGATTTCATTGATATTCATTGTTCCTGTGCTTTTGGAAAACATATATATACTGGTCACAAACTCAAAGAAAATCACACTCAGATTTTCACTCTTGAAGTGTGTCTGTTTGTCATTTCTTTCACCGACGCCCTGACCACCCTGCACACTTCTCTCAACCCTGAGGTGGCTTCATCGTCTACTGCTGTGCTGGTCCGCGGCAATTACCCATTATTTGCATTTGTCGTAGATCCTTCCAGATTTCAATGTGTATTTTTTTTTTAAGATTTACTTATTTATACAAGAACTGGGGTACAGGCCAGATGTGCAGGAGGGTGAGAGGATTCACCAGAGACAAAGCGGGTAACAGAACAGGCAGACTGATGAAATACACCGCTGAGGGGAGCAGCAGGCGAGACAGGAGAGGTCTGTTCTCCATGTGGGATTCTCGCCAGCTGGCTGGGATCAAACCACGCTGCAGAGGCTGTGGACAGCTTCACGGTGCGGCGCTCAAATACCTGCACCACCAGGGAGGCCCTCAATGTATATATTTTTAAAAAGAAAAATGAAATTATGCTATTTATACTGTTTCATGAGTGTTTCCAATTAGCAGTACCAAAAGATACACACCCGTATCTGGAGCACTCTTTTGATGGTCCTGTCAGCATTCTGTCGATTGGATACATAGTTTTAGCAACTTCCAATTAATGAATAATTAGAATGGTTCCGAAACTTGTTATAAACACAATGAATGTTTTTACATGATTGTTCAGATATTAAAGATACATTTCTAAAAGTGGAAATGATGAAGGGCCATCTGAAACCATCAACAGGATCAGAGTCAATCTGTTATAGGACAGGGAGAGGGGCAGCCCAAACCCCGCAAACCTGCCTATTTTAAATGGGTTCTGCCATCCGCCGCATCAACACAAAACACATGAGACTAATGGGAAGGATCTTTAATAAAACTAGGAAACAATACAGGTAAGGCAAAGAGTCTACTTTCTAAATGAAGCACCCAAAGTTACCCGTCCCCTCGTGGGTAAAAGTCCATCCATATGGGATCGGCCCAGAACAAGGCCCCAAAGCCTGCCACAAGTCTAAAGCATCTTCCAGTGGGGACCCACAGAAAAGGGTCACAAACAACCGGACAAGCCCGGAAGGAAAAGAGCAAAATCAACATCAAGATAAAAGCTGCCATTGTC